CTAAATATTCAATCATTTATTAATTGTGTTTTGGTTTGAGTTAAACAAACAATCAATACATTCAACGACTCATCAAAATAATGCTTTTGTCCATCAATTATGTCTTCACTTCTCGATTGTGATCAACGCTTAAACCATGTCTTCAGACAATCGTATATTCAATAAACAGATTATATAACAACTGATTGTCTATTAATAGTGAATACAATATATTGTTATTAATTGTCATTAATATTACGATTTGTAATGAATTACTAATGAAATCAATTGCGAAAACGTATTCAATGTATGAATGATATGACAAACACAATGACGTCCAATAGATGTGAGACTCGGACTCACATTCAGATCCCGTTTGCAAATTGAATTTTAAAAAATCTATAAATTGGCCACAATTTTAAATTAAAACAATTAAAATTTTTAATTCATGTAAATTAATCATTAAATACAAACTTATGCCAGCATTTATATTTAAATAGTTTATTTTGTATTTAACGGGGTTTAAATAACTTTATGCTTGGGTTATATTTTCATATGAAATAGGATTGGGCTGTGAAACAGACTTTGAGCTCAACTCTAGTGCTATATATTATATATAAATGTCACACACAGTCAGTACAGGCCTATAGCCTATAATGTTTCAATTGATTTACATCATAGCTTACAGTCAAACACCGATATATAGCCACATATTTATCTCAATTAATATTAATTTACTTCAATATAAGATTATTTATCAAACCTATAGTCAGGATATAAAATGCATGATAAATACTATCAACGATATTATGTTCACTGAATGCAAATGTTATCGCAAATGAGATGAAAGCCAATGTAAATATAGTGAGGCTTTGATTGTATATAAAAATAGTTGAAATATTTGTGTTGAATGATTGAGAGTCGCATTGAATGCAATGTATTAATAGATTGAATACCACTATAGCTATGGTTTGATTCAAAAAATTACTTTTTATCGCTATTTTTATTTCAATTTCATCTCATTTTTTGTTTTTATTTTTTATTATTTAATTGTTTTTTCATTTGTTTCAATCGTTTACTCAATATTTAGATAATATTTTCAAATAATATCTGTTTTAATGAGACATAAACTGAAATGAATAACAAAAATATGACAATCAATGCAAACAATAATAACAATGTTTTGCAAACAATGCCAACATTTTTGTCTCCTTTGGGCCCGAAGTCGACCTCAAGTACGATATCTTTGACACCATTTTGCTTACCATTATTAATATGTGTTCTCAATGTTTCAGATAATAGCGTCAAACAGAGCTCATCGGGGAGTGAGACGGATGTGTCGACCAACACATCCACCGAAAACCTGTCCCCTGAAGAACGCTTTGTCCTCCGAAGTGGTGTCCGACAGGAACCTCAGGGCGAAGAGACACTGCTGTCGATCGGGTCCGGTGTGGACGCCATGTCTCTCAACAATACTCTTATTATACATCACAACAAATCTCTCGATGGTTTACAATATCCGTCGGTTTCGCCGCTTCTTTACGGCCACCGAATCAATAACCAAATCAATGATAACAACAATCATAACAATCACAACAACAATAATAATCTAAATAATTGTAATAATAATCTAAACGATACGACAAATAAAATACAATCAATGGCTGCCATGACTTCGACACAATTGGGATCTCTTTTGCCATCAAATAATAAATTCAATTCACATATAAATAATGTATTGATACGAAACAAATCGCCGCCTAATCTCCAGTTAAGTCCGACCCGAACCTCAAGTTACGAATCGGTGCCCTCGAGTCCGAACTCATTCAATAAAGCACTTCTTCAACACTTCCAACTCAATAATGCGATCGAAAGCACATCTGGTCTCCAGCAGCCAATGCTAACCAATTACTTGAACTCATTGTCCAGTCATTGGAAAGTTGGCGACAACTCTCTCAACAGTTATGATATGTTTAAACCTAACCTCCATTTGCCGCCACCGCCAGAGTATGAGCGCCAGTGGAACAACTCGAGCCCCATCTCTGTCTCTACCTCTCCATCCAACTCAACGACACCCGAATCCAAATCAGTTGAACGATTGCCGACTTCTCGATCACATCCCGATCTCTTGAAATTCGACGACGAATTGGCGATAAAGGACTCCAAATGTAATGAAATGAATCCTAAATACAATATGATTGAAATGTTGAGCGCAGAGAACTCGGCCCTCAAAACAGAGTTAGATCTCTATTATAAGAAAGTTCTTAAACTTCAAAAAGTATGTCATTTTGTGTGATATGTAAACAATTGTTATGTAAAGTGAGACAAATACTAATGTAAATTGTGTTTATAGTTTGAACTGGAGATCCAAAAAGTACATCAATCGCACGAAGACCTCATGAGATCGTCGGATAAGAAGGAGATGTTAGAGCGCGCCATCAGATATAAACTGGAAAACGATTCCCGACGACTCAACCAACAGAATCGAGATTTGAAAAGTAATTGCAAACTCATTTCACGTGGCATTCATTGCTAACACTTGTGTTTCATTTCAGACCAATTGGAAACTGCTTTAAATCACATCTCGAAACGACCGGTAATTAAACGCAATATTAATTAAATGAAATGAAATATTAATTGTGAAATTTGGTCAACAGATTAGCGACTCTTTAGACGACGGAGAACTTAAAAAGGAAATTGCGAAAAGAGATGTTCTCATCGCACAACTCCTCTCTCAAAGTATTTATTACATGTTTTAACAGTGATTATGAATTCCATTAAAATCTTACCATTAATTTTAGATAAAGAACTCTTGAATGAGAAGGAAAGACAAGAAATTGAATTACAAGCCCAACGGCTAACACTTCAGGAACAGCGCAATCACATCGATATTTTGGACAACGCATTGATGAGCACTCAAAACAATGTGATTAAATTGGAGACAGAGGTTGGGAGTGAGAGAATGGCGTGATTTGAATGTTTGCTAACTTTGTTTGTTTGAATGAAGTGTCGTAAGAAACAGGCGTATGAGGAAAGGGCTTCACATTTACAGAAGGCTTTGTCTAATTTACAACTCGCCAGCGATAGGAGACTAACGATGGAAAAGAGAGTTCGGACTCATCTCGAGAAAGAGATCGAGAGTTTGAAAAAACAGCAACAAATTGGAGGACAAAAAGTGGAACTCAGTTCGGAGACAGACATCGATGACATGAAAAGAGAAATCCGTGACTACGAGGAGAAGATAATTTCATTGGAAGCAGAGGTGACTAAATGGGAACAAAGATATCTCGAAGAAAGCACTCTTAGGTCTATCGAAGTGAGCGCTGCGTCGGTTCCGAAGTGAGTACTTATTTTACAACGAATGAGAATTTGAAAGATTACTAAACAATTATGCATTGAATTCCGCAGAGACGCCAAAATCGCGGCCTTAGAGCGCACTTCACAGGAAAGTGAGAAACTGATAGCTGAGGCTCGGAGTGACAAACTGAGACATATGGACGAACTGCACGTCGCCAACAAGAAGAACGCAGAATTCGAGGGACGCGTCAAAGACATGGAGTCGAAACTCGCGGAGAAAGAAGCCATGATTCGAGTCCTGAGACAACACTCCAGAGACAAAGACGTGGTTTTGCAGAAGACTGTGTTGGCCAACAGACACACGCGATCGGCCAGCACTATGGGACTCACTTCCACTTCAGGCTCTCATAACTCGAATCAATCCAATACTGGAATCAATACAATGAGGACAACACGCGAAGAATTAGCCCAAAGTAACTGTCAGTCAAATGACTTGAATTCTCAAAATGGATCCAACGATACGAACAAATTGAATCTCGAAGAACAGCTCAAACAACTAGATTCCCGACTCACGAACAAAGTATGTCAAGCCTTACCTGTAGTTGTGTTGCATTGACTAAACATTGTCTCTATTGTAGGACTCGATTATAAGAGCGCTTCGATCGGAAAAAGAGCGCTTTCCCAACCATTATAACAATTGGAGGCTTTAGTCAAAACATATTTAATCAAATTTAGCTCATTTTTATAGATTATATGACAAATACATTAATTACAATGTATTATATTATAAATGCTTTGTTTATACAAATATACAAATCTCTCAAAATGTATATCTATTTTTGTGGCTGTAATTTAAGGTCTAATATATTATATGATTATAAATATAACTATTGCTTCAAACTATGAAAATTGTGCCAATCGTTTGTTAATAGCATTATTATATAATTTTTAAAATGTATAACTTATTGAATATATATTGCAATAAACCCTAATTTATTTATAAACAAGTTTTGCAGTAAACTAATTGTTTTATAAGTACTACACATAGACTGAACAAATGTCCAGAAATGGCCTTGATTATCCCGAAATTAGATGGCCTGTCAAGAATTAAAAAAATATTTTAAACATAAAGTCTATGGAGGCGTCTAGGAAAATGTAGTTAAAATTAGTAAAATGTCCAGGATTATAGGGCTGATTTTTCCCCAAAATCCAGGATTGTCATAAACTCGTCTGGTCAGTCTAACTACACATGCCTTACAAACATTATTTTCATATCTAGGAATGTTTTAATGGCATTTATACAAATGGCTTCTCAGTGGGAATATTCTCGATATATTTCCCACAAACTGATATCAATATGTAAGGGTTCGGCCCGTTGGCCACCCTACGGGAATATAATAAATACAAAATTTGGTTAAAAAGTTTAGTTTTATTTGTTATGTTTAAAGTTAGAAACCAAAATACAGAATGAATTCTTATTACAGTTTTTTTTACAAAAATCACATAAAAAACATACGGTTTTACACAAAATTTAAAAGTATTTTTTAATTAAAATTTAGTAAAAGTTTTAGTATTTATGTTTTTAATTAATGCAACAACAATTTTTAATTTATAACTACAAAAACATATAAAATTTTTAATCGCTAAGCCCTTTCAAATAGCACTGTTAACGCTAGTCACTTCCCGATCATAGAACTCGGCATTCGTACATGCCTATTCTAGCTAATTATGTCCACATTCCCGAATTTCCCCGATTTTGACTTTTTATTTCTGAATTTGGATGCTTTTACTTTCGAAAAATTGATGCTTTAAAGATAGCAAACAACAAATAAATTATGAATTGAAAAATTGTAGCATTTAGCTTTATACTAATTTTTCAAACAAAAAAGTGTACATATTTATTAATATATTCATTAGTAATGAATAAGCGGAATATCAGGATAACAAAATAATGTAAAAATATTTTGTTGCATTTTTTTACCCGAATTAACCCGAGTTTTACATTCCCGAGTCAAATAAACTAAAGATTTTCCCTTTGATTTTACATTTCTCTCGACGTTTAGTAGTGAATATGGGCTCAAAGAATTGCACAGTAATTGACTGTCCATTTCAAGGCAAGACCCCCGCCGGGAGACTGTAGTCGGACCCTCATTCCGGAGACTCCCGGGGCTTCGGGAACACTATCATTGATAGGCTGTACTCTACAGTATTTTCACCACAATTGTTGGCCGGGGTATACTTACTTGTCATGTCATGTGATGGTCAAGTTAACTAAAATATTTTACGAGTTATTCAACTTTTTGCAACAAAACAATAATTGTTTTTAATCGTATATTCTTTCTAACCTAATCTAACCAAATATAACATATTATAACCCATTAATTGAACTCATTTTTAATTTAAATTTTAAATGCTTTCAACACTAATCTTACGGACACTTAATTTAAATGAGTGTTTGTGTGAAAGACTGTACAATATTTGCAATACTTCTTGAATTGCAATCCAATTAAATGTTCAAACATTAGAAATTCTAATTTAGAATTGTTGTAAAGTTTACATAAAGTACTGTTGTTTACGAATGGGTGGCAAAAGTGCTCAATGTTTTGGTTTGACGTGAAGTGATTGAATCAATTGAATCAATACATCTTCAATGGAGTCAACAAATAGTGATTTAGTTAATGGTCTGCACAATGAATCACACGATGACGACAACCAATTGGTCCACAGATTAGCTCAAAGTGAAGACAAATTAAATAAATTCAAAGCATTGGCCGTCAAACTGAAGAAAGAGCTGAACGACACGAAACAACAGGTGATCCAAACCATCCAAACCTACCATTGAATGCCAATTATGTCATCATTTGAGTACATCTCATGTTTAACTCAATTATGTTTATAACTATTGTTTAGCTCTTGAAGTCGTCTTCGGATTGCAATGAATTGAAAGCACAGCTCAAGACTCAGGACAGGGAGAAGATATCGGCCTCTTATCAACAAATTGTCTCCAATTTTCAGGTATTTGTCAAAACACTTGTCAATGAATTTGTTGTGATTTGAATGTCATGTTATGTCCAGAGTTTGCAAACAGAATACGACAAAATCCAAGACCAAAACGATTGTCTCACTTCTCGTAATAAAGATCTCGACAAAGATTTAGCCGAAGGGCTCAACGAATTGACACGAGTTAGAGAGGAATTGGCAGNTAATAGCATTATTATATAATTTTTAAAATGTATAACTTATTGAATATATATTGCAATAAACCCTAATTTATTTATAAACAAGTTTTGCAGTAAACTAATTGTTTTATAAGTACTACACATAGACTGACCAAATGTCCAGAAATGGCCTTGATTATCCCGAAATTAGATGGCCTGTCCAGAATTCTAAAAATATTTTAAACATTAAGTCTATGGAGGCGTCCAGGAAATTGTAGTTAAAATTAGTAAAATGTCCAGGGTTACAGGTAGGGTGACCAACCGTCCCGGTTTTGAGCATTTTGTCCTGTGTCCGGCGAGGGTCAGACCGGGACAGGGACGGTCAAAGTTTTTAAATTCTAAAAGTTAAAGTTTTACAGTTTGGTTTTACAAGTGTTATTTCCTTAAATTTGTTATCAAGCAAATATCTAATTCAAATATATTTTGCTTTGTATTTTCGATAAAATTCTTTGTGAAATGATAAAAACCGGCACATTTCTGGCAATTACAAACGTATGCAAAAAGTAATAAATAGTGACATTTTAAACAAATTAAAAATGACGAACCCAAATTCAACTTTAAATTTATTATTGGAGCCAGTAACAAAATTCCTAATTTCTACCATAAAATTAACTGATAATTTAATAATGATTTACTACCAAAATATTATTAGCATTAGTCCCATTGAGTTAGCATTGTCTATAGGATTAGCATAGCCCATGTTATCCCAATGTCGTAGACTTAGCATTACCCATGTTAAAGTACAGTCATAGACTTATGCTGTAATCCCATGTTAATTCCCCATAGACTCAAGAATCCCATGTTAAAGTATAGCAATAGACTTAAGCTGTAATCCCATAGAGCGGGGCCGGGGGGCCGAACGATCCTATAAACCACATTATTCATACTGAATTGTGGTTAATAAATTATGAATTGAAAAATTGTAGCATTTAGCTTTATACTAATTTTTCAAACAAAACGTGTACATATTTATGAATATATGCATTAGTAATAATTCATTAAATGATTCATTACTAATGAATAAGCGGAATATCAGAATAAAAATATTTTGTTGAATTTTTTTTTTGACCCGAGTTAACCCGAGTTTTACATTCCCGAGTCAAATAAACTAAAGATTTTCCCTTTGATTTTACTTTTATCCCGACGTTTAGTAGTGAATATGGGCTCAAAGAATTGCACAGTAATTGACTGTCCTATCAATGGCAAGACCCCCGCCGGGAGACTGTAGCGGACCCTCATTCCGGAGACTCCCGGGAGCTCTGGAACACTATCATTGATAGGCTGTACTCTACAGTATTTTCACCAAAATTGTTGTCCGCGGTATACTTACTTGTCCTGTCATGTGATGTCAAGTTAACGTTCAAAACGAATATCAGTTTAAACACCAATTAAAATATGTTACGAGTTATTCAACTTTTTTCAACAAAACAATTTTTAATCGTATATTCTTTCTAACCTAATCTAAACCTAATCTAAACTTAATCTAAACCTAATCTAACCAAATATAACATATTATAACTCATTTGTGGTTTGGCTTCAAATTAGAAATCAAAACTCATTTTTAATTTAAATTTTAAATGCTTTCAACACTAATCTTACGGACACTTAATTTGAATGAGTGTTTGTGTGAAATATTGTACAATATTTGCAATACTTCTTGAATTGTAATCCAATTAAATGTTGAAACATTAGAATTGTTGTAAAGTTTACATAAAGTACTGTTGTTTACGAATGGGTGGCAAAAGTGCTCAATGTTTTGGTTTGACGTGAAGTGAATCAATTGAATCAATACATCTTCAATGGAGTCAACAAATAGTGATTTAGTTAATGGTCTGCACAATGAATCACACGATGACGACAACCAATTGGTCCACAGATTAGCTCAAAGTGAAGACAAATTAAATAAATTCAAAGCATTGGCCGTCAAACTGAAGAAAGAGCTGAACGACACGAAACAACAGGTGATCCAAACCATCCAAACCTACCATTGAATGCCATAATTGTCATGATTTGAGTACATCTTATGTTTAACTCAATTATGTTTATAACTATTGTTTAGCTCTTGAAGTCGTCTTCGGATTGCAATGAATTGAAAGCACAGCTCAAGACTCAGGACAGGGAGAAGATATCGGCCTCTTATCAACAAATTGTCTCCAATTTTCAGGTATTTGTCAAAACACTTGTCAATGAATTTGTTGTGATTTGAATGTCATGTTATGTCCAGAGTTTGCAAACAGAATACGACAAAATCCAAGACCAAAACGATTGTCTCACTTCTCGTAATAAAGATCTCGACAAAGATTTAGCCGAAGGGCTCAACGAATTGACACGAGTTAGAGAGGAATTGGCAGAAACTAAGGATCAAATCGATGGACTCAACGCTACCATCACTTCAATCAAAGATGAGAAACAAAGTTTAGAGACAAGAAAACGAGAGTTTGAATCGAAAGTAATTGTATTGCAAAATGAGTTGGATTTGGAGCGCAAGAGGAATGTGGCCAACAGTGGGTTAGAGCAGACAATCAGTGAACTTCACCATCAATTGGATGAGAAGACCACTGAGATTATAGATATCAGCGATAGGTTTGAGAGCGCAAAGCAAGGCATCAAAAATTTTGATGAATTGTTCGCTGAAAAACAGGAACTCATATCTCGTGTCGAGTCCTTAGAAAAGGAGAATTTAATTTTTAGAGAAGACGTTCAGAAATATAGCGAAACATTAGAAACACAATTGTCTGAAATAGAAAACTATAAAATAAAAGGTTCGGAACTGACGGCACATATCAATAGTTTGGAGACTCAGTTGAGGACAACGAATGAAACGTTTAATAAAAGTGTGAAGAGTTTAGAAACTAAAGTGAATGAAATGCGTTCACAAATCACTTGTTTGGAGAGTGAGCTCAACGCCAAAGACGAGAAGTTTGAAGAATACAAACATAGAGTTTGTAAAGTTCTTAAACAACACAACGATTCCCAAAATAATGAGCGAAACTCAAAACAAATGTCGGACTTGGAGTCAACTATAGATCATTTAAATCTAGAATTAAATTCTTTGAAGTAAATTAACTTTAATAACAGATGAACTCTTTTATTCAATCTAATGTTTATTTTTTAGGGAAAAGTTTGAGATTAATTTACGCGAAAAGGAAACTTTAGACAACAATTACATTCAATTGAATACTAGTCATAATTTATTGAAAAATATCAACAATGAATGCAATACTTTAAAAGAGAGGTATAATTGCTATTAATATATTCCGGTACTTATTTTTGAATCAAATTCATTTCAAAGTCAATATTTTCCAGAATTACTGAATATAAGAATGAAAATGAAAAGCTTAAGTCATTGGCCCGTGAATTGCAATCAACACTAGTTAGTGATCGCAAACAAACCGAAACACATTATAAGGTTTTATATTT